CTCGTACCACGCAACTCGTGACCTAATCTTTATTTCTTCTATACACCCTAACACAGACACACACCCATATGACGACAGTTAAGAGAGAAATAAAATATAGATGAGATATAGTACAATATCAGGGAAAGAATACGTTGAGAGAAAGAGAAAGGGAAAGGGAGAGAGGGGGGGGGGGGGAGTCAGTATTCCAGAAGAAAATAATTAGAATGAGTAGGCATGGTAGAGAAATGAATTCAGATGGTGAAAAGAAAAGAGAAAGAGAGAATTTCAGTAGGAGTGGAGAGAGCTCGTGAGATAGGAGAAGAAAATCAGAATTGAATAATATATTTATATATATCTACTTAGCACGCATTCATATTGGTAAGATAATCTTTTTATAGGAAATTTGAATTTTGAAAGAGTTGAGCTTTGCTGAATACTTTGATCCAGGCTGTACCACAACTTGATATATTTTACACAGAATGAGTTTGAGGCCATGGAAGTGGAAGCCTTAGGTTGATGAAATAATTTACATTGACGAGTGTTGTTATTATATACAGATGAATTAAGGGTGAACATATTTTCAAACATTTTTGGTAAACATCCAGATTGGTATTTATACATAAAAATAAGAGAGTTCATAGAAATTAATTCAAAGATTGGTAAAATGTTTATTTTGTTAAATAATGACATACTCGGACAGTAATATGGGGATGACGAAATAAGTCTAATTGCTTTTTTTCTGAAGTATTATTAATCTAGAAAGATGTCTTTTAAAAGTATCCCCCCCCCCATACTGAGTTACAGTATGTTAGGTGAGGCAAGATTAAACTATAATATAAAGTGACGAGTATGTTTTGTGGTGATATAAATTTGAGCCTTGATATGATTCCTATACATCTTGATACTTTTGTACCAATACTACTAATATGTGGTTTCCAAGAGAGAAATTCGAATATTATATATGACGTTGAGAATGCGAGCAAATGAGAATGTGACGATGTTACGCTGAATGATGTTGATACGCTGAATGATGATAAGTTAGAGGGTGAGAGATAGGGGTGAAGAGAAATTAAGGAATGACAGAGGAATAGTAAGAGAGATGGAGGAAGAGGTAGAGAGAGAGGGGGTGGGAGATGGAGAAACAGAGAGGGGATGAGAGAGATAGAGAAAGAGAGCGGGACGGAGATAGAGGGAGCGCAAGAGAGAGATATATACCCTTATAAAAAGAACCATGGTAACCATGGTTTTATATATAGAGAGAGAGATATGAGCAAGGAATGAAGATATAAGGGAGGTTTGGGGAGGGGGTACTGTGAGTAATCATTTGATCACTACTTGACAGTTTACTGACCTACACGCCACCGATACTTTAATCCAAACCAACAGATATTTGATTTAGCGCCTTTTCCTTGCAGTTACAAAGCGCTGCACTCACGATCCACCCGTTCTCCCTATTTTCCTCCTTCTCTGCTCTCTCTCTTTCTTTCTTTCTCTCTCTCTCTTTCTTTCTCTCTCTCTCTCTCTCTCTCTTTTTTCTTCATTATTTCTCTATCTTTCCCCATCTTTCACTCTTTCTTAACCCTACTATATTACGTGTGTGGGTATACGCCTGTGTGTGCTTTAGTGTGTGTATGAGTATTTCTGTCTGTGTATTGCCGGTGGGGGGGGGGGGGGTCTGTGGAAAGCGTTGGAGGAGCAAGTGACCACCATGAACAGACCCTTCATAGTCACTGCACCACCGACATTAGATTACAACTTAATATTACAAAGCGTAATCATTTAAGCTTTCTTTCGCAAGTTGAGCAGAAAGTATGTTGATTCAGCCATCATTAACTTTTATTTCGCATACAAAATATATGTACAATGTTTGTAAAGACTTGACAGGAAAAGGAAACGACAGCAATGAAACGCATTAAAACAAACAACTACTACATGTATATTACACAATTATTTACAGAGAAGCAAAGTACATTAAATGTAAACAAATACGTAATTCATTTTAGAATAAAAGCGGCCCTATAAGTTCATGAAAAATCCTAACTGTTGTTGATAAGAAAAGAGACCCAGTGTTTGGCTATTAAACAAACAAAAAACATTCAAACCACAGCAAAATACTTTTCTCAATTGCCATATTTAACAAACTAACTAACTTATTGGCAGCCATCGTCTCAAGAAATTCAATGATTTAATCTGCATTGTTTCTACTTTATTCTAGCATTCGTTTTTTTACCATTTTGTTTATTTCTACGAATTCAATTCAATTTATTTCCACTTTAAAAATATTTACCAATCAATAACATATACATATGAATAATAGTGGCGGGATCATGACAAGCACTAAATTGGCTTATTGAAAATGACCCCTTAACAAGTATATACATAACATATTTATACATTGTAAGAAAATATCAAAAAAATTATAACAGGAAAAATATATAAGAGAAATACTGCCAATACTCTTTATATACCCCGTATAATTCAGTCACTATATTTTTTTTTTATAAAGAATGTTATACTCTTCTGAACATACATACATTCAATAAGTCCTCTTACATTTCGTTTTAAGAAAGAAATTCCGAATACATACTAAATAAATTATAATAATAGCTCACATTTATGATGCGGATACTACTTTGCTTCTAGGCGCAGTACCATATTATTACCGGGAATCTGATTTAGGCTTACCCGCACACAAGGTATGCACATTCTCCACTCCCCGTGAAGAAATCCAGCCAGTCGCCATTTTACAAGCGCCACTTGCTCATCCAACCATAATTATAAACTTTTGCATCCTACTGGGTACCCATTTAACACCTGGGCGGAGAGTGACAAATGAAGCTTAATGTCTTGCTAAAGGAAATTAGGGCCGTGTCGGGGTTCGAACCACGACCTTCAAATTCCAAGTCAAGTGCTTAAACCACTCGACTACGACACTTCTACAATGATATAACTCAACTTGTAATTCTAGGATATCATTAAAATAACAACCTCAAGATGCAACTGATGAGTACATTTCTAGACAAATCAAATTTTGAAATGCGAGTTAAGAAATATATCTACAAGTATTCCGTTTAATCATTGGCACCGATAGATCAAAGCAGTCTACATACCTCACTCATCTCTTATCTCTTGAAGCTTCGGACTACTCAATATGTTGTTGTCATGTTCTCAATTCAATGGGCTATCCTAGAATAGACAATAGTTTGTAATCCCCCACCTTAGCACACGTTCATAATATAATTGCATGCTTCAATACATATATACAATACCTCATCATTGCTTTTGTCTTCCTGGTGATGCTATACAGCATGTCTGACATAGCAACTTGTATGTTGCTATTGTATTACGTATTGTAACAGGTGGTCGACTTCGGAAAAGATACATACCACTTTCTCAAGTTAGCACATTGGTGACTGACAGATGATGTCACAAGGGGAATGAAATCTGGAGGTTTTGGGGGTGGAGCTTAGCAAGTTTGAAAAAAATATTTAAAATCTATGAAACAAATTCAGAAGTTTACATATCAAAATATGAGATGTATGCAGGACTGCACACCAACAGGAATACACTCGTATTTCGATTTCATGGGCCCTTTATAAGGGCTAGGGCTACCCCTCATGACTGCTTCCTGTTCGGATTAATCCTACAAATCTGGTGGGCCAGGTACAGGTGGAGGAGGCCTGTCTGGCATGCTCATGTTTACCTGCCCCCTGTTTTCTGGGTCCATATACACTCCTACGTTGGGTTCATCAGCCACTGCCTCGGGGTCGGGTGGGTTTACCTTTGGGGCTTGCCGTTGACGACGTGAATTAGTCATCACTGCCATAGCTCTCCCGACTGCGAACATGAGAGCGGATACGTCCGGCTCACTCGGCGAAGACTGATTCCTCCTCTTGGCACTAGATGAGTCAAAATGAAAGTACCAAGATCAACCATTTCAATCTTTAATTCAAGTTTCTTTCAGTGAAGCGCATCATTTTTACTATCACTTTTTAAATGAGCCGTGTCAGAACATTCATGTATATTCTTCAAATTTTAAATTTGTATTTAGTATTTATTGTCCATTTCTGGATGAACTTAAATTTGGCAAAGTTCTGAAAATGGAAGAAGAGGCTGTTGCTAAAACAAAAAAAATGATCCAAATAGCAGAATTTGATTGATTAAGTGATTGGTTCATTAATTTAATAGTATCCTATCTCTTGTAAATTAGGAGAGAGAGAGAGAGAGAGAGAAAAGACAACTGTGAAATGAATAAACAAGTTACATCATTACAGAGGTAAATTACTGTAAAAAAGATGTTGATGTATTTCCCTAGGTACTTACCAACTTATAATGAGAATGAGAATGATAAGTGCCGTGAATCCTGCTAAACCACCAAGTGCAGCTGTTAATACATTCACTTTTCCTGCAGAATTGATGAAATGAAATTTTGGCTTATTTTTCATCAGGATGGTTTGAATAATTTAGATAAGAGTTCTATGACACATCCAAAATCATTTACGCGTGTGATAGTCTCTGACACCTTCATCAGACAAGTACTGACAGACTGAAGCAATAGCTGCCAATTTCCAATAGCCAAAGGATAAACCATTCAGAATTGCCTTTCAATTGAAGTTGGACAAGGCAACTTCTTCAAGATGTCTGCCTTAAATCAAGCCTTAACCCAGTGCTTGTTTATATGATGCTAACAATAAATACTGTTACCTGAATAAGAACCATTTCTTGTTATACTTCTCATAAAATCATGATTTATCAAGCTCCATTTCATGAACCTTTTCTACCTCTGATATATATATATATATATATATATATATATATATATAAACGTTTTTTTTTTTAATGAGCTTTCATACATAGCAGTGCTTGCATACATATCAATTGAATAGCACTGGAAACTACAGCACACATTTTGGTAAAATAACAAGTGTGATAGTGTATAAACATGTGACTATGTTCGAGCAATGATTAGGGTCTAGGAGTGAGTTATATACAAAAAAATAATGCCACACTTGCCTCGACACTTGACTGGAACACATGATCTCATCACACTTTCGTCTGAACCAGGAGCCGGTGAAATAAAGAAAGGCGGGTCAGATGATGGGTTTCGTGAGAGGATGGCGCACACGTACTGGACGTCTCTGCATACCGCTAAAGTCAGGTTAAGAGTTCCGGAGAGTTCCTCCAGCGTGGTTGGAACACCAGGCGAAACAATGCCCGTTCTTGACTGAAAGGGAGTCAGGACCACCTGACAATATATCATACAGTATTAATAATACAGATAACACAAATGATGACAATTTACAACCGATCAAAACGCCTACAATGCTAGTATTACCCGAGTTACTGGACTTCATTACTATTCCGCACATTACAGGAACATTCCACCTAGCCGCCTTTTTTTGATAATCTGATCACACTGACCTATGTATCCTATTGGATACCCATTAGCATCTACATATGCCTTGCTCAAGGACAATAACATCATGTTCATGGAGCTACTGAGATATAGTAGGTTCTTTTTAATTGACTTTCAATTCAACGGTTGAGGGTTCATACTAACGTCATTCGGCGAGACATCAATCTGCATTAGCCACTAGTCTCCACATACCAAAGTATAAATGGGCGCTGTGTAATAGCAAGGGGAGGTGAGATAAAAGCAAATGTGCTTCACAAAGGTCCCTACATTATACAGCATTATCTTTCTTGGTGAAGACACAGATATGTAAAGCGCAGTATACTTGTATCGTCTCTATTTTGTTGTATATTTTTGGAAACGTAGTTTTCATCAATATGTGTAAACGGTTCTTCGTGATGATGAAACGTAAACTTACCGATGAGCTGGGAGAAGAAACACCGTTTCCTGATATGTCACTTGTGCTGTAATAGAAACTGACTGCCCACAAGTTGTTTCCTATCACACTGCCACCCTCTGGATTAGTGCCGATGTTGAGGTCAAAGGTCACCTGATGTTGGTTCCTTCGTTCCACGATGGGGTTGCCGCTGGTTATGAAGATGGACGTGCCTGTGACTTCAACACCTGGTGTGGACATGAACAAGAGTCAAAGATTTTTTTCAAATGCTTTATAATTCTGCCTGGACTTCGTCATAAAGGAATATAAACACATATGGATGAAAGTTTTGCATACGGCCTAATACCATTTGCGGAATATGCATATATCGGGCCCATGTAATACAACAATAATCCTAGCAAAATATCATGCCATAATGTTTTTGTAGTCCATACATATTTCTGTGCGCAGTGCATGTGACTTTCAGCAAGATTGAATTTTAGATGATTTCAAACCCTAATAGCATACACAAATTATTATGTGCCGCATGATAACCTTTTCCAATTGCTTCTAGAGAGTGTTTATCTCAGTGTACTTGCTTGACCAGAACTCGTCATTATCCTTAAAGGGATAGTTGAGTTCTGTTGCAGAGGGCGCTACACAAAATAATTTGTTGTGAGATAATAAAAAACTGAGAGTCAAATTTGAAAGAACATAAACTTTAAATGACAAAATCATCTATGTTTGATCAAAATCGGTTCAGAGACGGCTGAAATATCCATAAATATAACGATTTCTATTTGTGTACCACCACAAATATTCGATAAATTGAAATAGAACTCAACTATCCCTTTAAATGAAGCCAGTTGAATGCGGTTCGAGTCCCGCCGCCGCACTAATGTCCTTTGGCAAGACCTTGATCTACATTTTCCACACTCAACCCAGGTGAAGTAAATGGGAACCTGGTAGAAAATTATTACTTGAAATGCTAGAGCGCCGTATGGCAGCCGTGCTAAAGCCAGGTAATAATCGGGAGTGCCAGGAGGGTCAAATCTGATTGACATGAGCGCTATACAAGAACCCATTATTATTTATTTATTTATTTATTACCTCGTTCACAAAACTCTTCACCGTCCTGCACTGAGCAAATTTGGCAGGTATAGCTAATTCCGCTAGGTAGGCAGGTGGCACCGTTTCGACACGGTTCGTTGATGCAAGGGTTGGAGTCTAAAAAGATAAGAGAAATAGAACTCATGGCATATAAGGGTGGCAAAAGATAGTACCTGTGACAACTATAGTTATTTCTCAAGTCTTTGATACGGGTTACCAGTATTACAGAATTGAAATTCACTGATCTGAGAATTTTTCGAAGTTCTTTCTTTCTTTCTTCCATGTTTTCAACCATATTTTGATGAAATCTAATGCTTTTATATCAGGATTATATAATAGTGTATATGTTTTGTTTCCATTTTGAAAGAGCCCCCAGAGCAAGTTGTACAGCAATATTAAACAAATTAAGCTGTATTACACATTTTGGTGACTCAAATACAGATTTGGATTCAAGAGATATATATTTCCTCCTCGTGCCTTCATATTATAAATATGAACTACAATTGCTTAATGGCATCGTTTAACAATGTTAAATCTGAGATGCATGGCCCTACGACCATTTTATCAGTGTTTGTGATACGGTGTAATATTAAACCCCTAAACAAAATTGCGCTCAAAAAAAGATCATGAGGTTGCTCAAAAAAGTAAAATTTCTTTGAGTGACCTGTTTTATCACACTCGTTTTTCCCAATAAACGGTAGTGTATAACAACCGTTAGGAAAATGACAAATGAAATTTCGATTTCAAATCATAATTTTCGTGATAATCAGACAGGCGATCGGCTTGTAAAAGTCATGGGATTCCTGACTTACATAAAGGTGTATAGGCTAATCATGATTGCAGCATAAGCTAAATCCAGGATTTTGTTTCAGAATCTGAGGCAATGTTACCGAGTCACTTTAAAAATGAGGGCCTCATGTTTATGCCACATGTTTGTGTAGTCCTATATACAGCTTTATGTGTACAGCGCTTGTTACTTTTACCAAGACCGGGCCACAGCCTTGCAGTTCACAACAATACTTCAAATATATGCTACATACATGGTTAACTTTTTCTGATCGGTTCCACACCGTTTCTGCCACAATGCAATTCCATGACCAGAAATCAACTTTATCTTTAATACCTCTATCAATTTGAAATATGAAGGGGCCCATGGTGTAAGCAATTCTTGTAGGCCCCAACGGGTAGTTAATTTTATAACAGTGTTTCAAAATAGAGGGAACGAATCACAGTAATAGAATTAGATTTTGTACAATGTTAGGGTCACTTTCACTATCATAATGTAACAAATTTACATCACTTTAATAAATTCGCATTACTTGTAGAAACTTGCATTACCTATATAAATCTTCATTACCTTTACGCTTTAGTAGCACACGCATCCCGCATAGACACGCCTACACAGTATACATACTCGACCCACACTCACACACTTTCTAAAATGCTCTGCGGCTCCTGAGTCCGTCTATAAAGAAACTTTCACATTTCCATTTAGTTCATAAACCTATACTTTACATATCGATAACTACTGTAAATACGTTTTTGAGTACCTAATTCAAATACAAATATACACAATTAAAAAAACCTCACCGATGCTATAAGTTATGTTGAACCCTTTGCTTGTAATAGAATGATCTGGTGTCCACCCAAATGTCATCTGGTTGGTATCATAACTGTAAGTCCCAAGTCGGGTCTCATTGCCGTTGAAGCCAAAATTACTAGGATCGCTGATATCAAAATCTGGGCCTGTTGTATAAAAGAGGTCGTCCTTATATAATTCACTCATGAAGGAATTCAAGTGTATGAAGATAGTGGTAGCTGTGGGGATCCGTATCGAGTATATGCAGAGCTCGTTGTCTCGAGCCCGATCCGGCCAATTGGGGGAGGTAAGGAGACCTGTGGTGCCAGTGTATGTCCGACTGCAAGTAACGGGACTAGGGCCAGGTGTCGGTATACCTGCCATCGTTTATCGGGTGAGAAAAGGTTAAGATAATGTTAACATGTATACGACCGTAACTTCCCCAGGCAATGTCCATGTACGTCAGCTTTCGAAATTTCGACGGAAATGGGAGAACATTAAATGACACTCAAAGAAGGGCATTGAATATGCACTTTGGTTCATTTTTCAAAAGGATGTTGTGATCGTGGTAATTCCAGTTTACTAATAATAATGATAACAAACCGTTCTTGTAAAGTGCATATTGCATTTCATAAATAAGTCCCTAATGCGCTTTCAAGAGAGTTTGGATATTATTATCCTAACTTTAACAATGATATGTTCAAATTTGAGTATGATTTTTATTCAGAAGCCTATGGTAGAGGCGTATTTAGGTATTTAGCAATCTTCAAAACAGCCTTGCCCCCCCCCCTTTAGATCTGCATTGTCACGCGTCATGTAGACAAAAGAACAAACTTATTCTTATTGTTGGCATTCATATTGAGGCCTTAATTAGGAATTTGCACGAAGTCAACTGGAGGGATGTATATGCTGCAGAAGATCCAAACGATAGTTATAATATTTTTCAAAATAAATTTCATGCATTGTATGATAAGCATTTTCCAATTGTATTAGAAAAAAAACAAAAACAAGAAATTAAAATGTTGGATGACGAATGGACTGTTACAGTCGATCCGACATAAGAATAAATTATACAAAATGTATTTACGTAACCCATGAGACCAAAATGCTTATGTGTATAAAAACTATCATAACCTACTCACAGGATTAATTCGTAAAGCAAAATCTCAGTATTTCCATGACAAATGTGTACTTAATAAATCTAATGTAAATCGTACGTGGCAAACGATCAATTCACTACTTAACAAAAGTAAACCAGCTGAGGAATCTGTATACGGGGACATCGCTACAGAGCCGGACATTATTTCGAACTCCTTTAATGACTTCTTTACAAGCATTCGTCCATCTTTAGCAAATAAAATCCCAGGTACCCAAACGAATTATTTACAGTATATGAATGATCCACCTGTTGACTCATTGTATTTATATCCTACTAGGGAAAACGAAATTTGTAACATTGTTAGTATTTTTGGAAACAATAAAGCTGCAGGTTTGGACGAATACAGTCAAAGAGTCATAAAACATGCCATTATGTACATCTGTAGACCACTATGCCATGTATTCAACCTTTCATTATTAAACGGAGTTTTCTGGTGACAAGCGTGAATTTACAAACTATAGGCCCATTTCTGTACTGTCAGTCTTCTCTAAATTATTCGAGCGCATTGTTTATAAAAGAACTATTGAATTCCTTGACAAACATTTTATTCTCAATAAACATCAATATGGTTTCCGTAGGGATTATTCAACATGTATGGCTCTTACCAGTCTTTCTAGTAAAGTCATAGACGCCTTTGAGGCGAACGAATTTGCAATTGGATTTTTTTATAGATTTGTCTAAGGCATTTGACACAAGTAATCACAATATTTTACTATTTAAACTATATCGTTATGGAATACGTGGTGTAGCTCTTAAATTTTTCCACCAGTTATCTTAACAATCGATTACATTGTACCAAATATCAATCTTCTATTTCGGTGTTTAGGACAATAACATGCGGAATTCCACAGGGTAGCCTGCTTGGGCCATTGTTATTTATATTATATGTGAATGATATTTATAAATCTGCTAATGAATTGTCTTTTATACTGTATGCAGACGACACAAACATATTTCACAGAGATTCAAACTTGAAGTCTCTTATGGATGCAGTAAATGCAGGTCTTGCATATATATGTGAATGGTTCAAATCTAATAAATTATCTATAAATTTAAAGAAATGTAATTATATGATTTTTCACAATGGAAAGAATGCAGATTTAAATGATTTCAATATTGTTCTTGATAATGTCATATTGCCAAGGGTAGATGAAGTCAAATTTCTTGGCGTTTATTTAGATAGTTCCTTGTCTTGGAAATACCATATTCCGAAGTTGAAAGTAAGGTGTCCAAAAACATTGGCATTATATCCAGACTCAAACATCTCTTGCCCAATTACATTCTACGTATGTTATATTGTGCTCTTATACTTCCATATTTTTCTTACTGTAATCTTGTTTGGGCGAATTCCTGCAAGTACAAAATACAAAAGCTTATACTATTGCAGAAGAAGATTATTCGTATAATATCCGGAATACACTATCGTTCCCATACTGGTCCCATCTTTAAACAAATTATTTTCTTGAGATTCAGTGACATTAACTTGCACCAACAGGGTATTTTCATGTATAAAAGCATGAATAACATCTTCCCATCACAATTTAGTGATTTTATCAATTTTAAATGCAACTCGGAAACCCATACATATAATACGAGAAGCGCTGCCAACATTCATCTCCCTAAACATAGAACCCGAAGATTTCAATTTGACATTCGATACTCTGGGCCAAAATTTTGGAACACCTTACCATCTATTCTACACAAATCGCTCTCCTTGCAGACTTTTTCCCGTAAGGCAAAAATGTATTTAATTGCTCGATATTGATACCCTCTCTTGTATTTATGTGTGAAATGATCTTTTGTGGAATTTAATGACATGTTTGTATGACCGATTATTCATTTATATTGAAAACTTGTTGCTAGTACCATCTGTATATTCCCAGGACAATGCTGTCGGATAAAGCTGTTGTCTGTTTGATGATTTTGCTTGTTTTTAATGATATGTACCCGCTTTCTTTCTATATTACAATTGTACTTCGTTATCTTTATGATGTAATCGCAGACACATGTACAGCCCAATTGATGTAACTTTCTCTTTATAAGTGAACATGCCTTCCTATACTTAATTCTTTCCTCTCTTCCTTTCACTATTTTTTTCTTTCCTATCAACGTTCTTTTATATACAATGTAATTTTCATAATAATATCTATAATGTTCTTTCGGTAACTGTGTTAATTTATTATGGGCGTTCCCAACTCAAGCTATGCTTTCCGTGTTTTCGCCTCCTTCCGTATCTGAATTATTTACTGTATACTCTATGTTGAAATAATTGTTACATATATCATGTATATATACATTGTGTTTTATATTGTGCTGTTGAGAAGGAAATAAATGTTAATAAATACATAAAATACAATACAATACCCCCCCCCCCCGATCCCCAGACAAACATCTGCTAGATATCCACCCGTACTGCATCTCTGTGGATTGAATCCACTCCACTATTCATGAAGGACCTCCAGTGATTTTTCTAAAATGCACAAAGTGGGACGTCTCCATATGTAAAAGATCTGTGGATATTTGGGGGCCATTTTACAAATGCTACCTCGTAATCAAACATTTCATGACAAGATGTATGAAAAAAGTATTCCCACTTCATGGGCAACAGGGGGATTATGATAACTTACTATCGATGTTGTAGTCACAGTGTTTTCCTATCCATTGTCGTAAACACAGGCAAACATATCCGGGTTCCAAGATGGCCAGTTCACACGTCCCACCATTTTGGCAGGGGTTGATGCTGCACCCTGTTAGGAGTAAAACAGATAAATGTTTTGAGCTGCAATATTTTTATTATAATTATGATGATGATGACGATGATGATGATGGTAGTAATAATAATAATCATCATTATAATAATATCAGAAGATGAAAATAATATTAACAATGATAATGATAAGAATAACAATAATAAAATGCTTTAATAAACAGCAGTACAACCCATGAATGTGTTCTCAAGTGGCTTTACAAACATCAATACACATATAGATAAATATGATTGATCGGGTCAGTATAAACTGTTGTAAATGTATATGAAGCGTAAAGGCTAATGAAGTCAAGCTGAACGATGGCCCACACTCTGCAAGATCACCACTGTCAGTCTTGTAAACCAAGATTAAATATACAATTGCACGTCGTGTCAAATGTCACAAAACTTTCACTAAAATTAGAGATTTTAAAGGAATGTTTGAAAGATTTTAAACGATGATTCATTCATTAAGCCTACTATCATGACTATAGTTTGTTTATGTTCAAGATGTTCATGGAGTTCAATATCTTCTTATCGCGATATGAAAAAAGGATCACCATCATAAATTTAACAAACTTGAAATAGGCAGATAATGCTTCGATACATCCACATAGTACCTTCTTTGAACTATATACATACATACTATATAGATCTGTTAGCGGTGGGTAATCAGTACGAAATTTACATTTTTAAAATTTCCTACCTTCTGCTTCTATTACTGTAATACACGCCAGAAATACGCTGAAAACACGAAGCGACTGTAAGACATGCCCCATATTGTTACTGCAAGATACAAATAAAGAAAAGAAAAGAAAAATGTAGAATGATTATGGGGAAATTTGCAATGTTGCATTTACATTGTACTATTGAGAAAGAAATAAATGTTAATAAATACAAAATACAAAGCTATTTGATTTGTAGCTGTCTTGTGTCATGGGTATACATGCACGATAGATCGTTGCGAAATTATGGAACTAAATGTAAAGTTTGTCATGAACCAGTTTATTTTCTCACTGGGATCGAGATGAGGGAGAAAACATGAAGAGTGTGAATGGAAGAATAGCGAATAAAAACATACTACAGATTGAGAGAGAAAGAGAGAGTGAGAGAGAGAGTGTGTGTGAGAGAGAGGGGGGAGGT